TAGTAGCACAATAAGATACACTAACTAGGTTAAAAAGGGAGGAGGAAGGAGATTCGGAGACCAGAAACCCCCCGACTGTCTATGCCAGCCACGACCCGTCAGTTCAGACGGCAGCCCAGTAACTTCAGAGGACAGGAAAGGCCGCGAGGGTTGTGGAGGCGAAGCGGTCAGCCTTGTTTTCCACGCGTGCCAACTCAGTGCGTTCCTGACAAAGCGTTCGCACTTCCAGTTTCTTCCACCTTTTAACGGCATCTTTCTTAAGGTGTGATCCAGGCCTGTAGAAGAAGACCGGTGCCTTAACGGGTGAGTGGGAATAATTGCCCCAAGAACAGGGATCCGATGATCCCTACAAACAAGCTGCAACCCGTGGGCTTTTCCTAAGGCCAGGCTGCACAGTTTCCATCTGAGCTTTATGGGTAGTTATGCAAGGGGCGCTCGGTGAAAGTTGGAGGCCTGGTGAACCACTTTCGGTCTCCTTTCGATGATGAACCCGTGCGCTAGGACAGAGAGAGTGTCTCAAAAGGAAACCAGGAGCAAGGAGGTTGGACTCAGCACCTGCCAGCGGTTCCCTTCCCTCGGTGCCCTCTCTCCTACTGGCTATGTTTCCAAATGGGAGTTGAGTTCAAGGCTTTGTCAGAATACCCTACGTCCCTTCCTTGCTGTGTTTTGATGATAACAACAGCGTCTTTCCAAAGAACCCTTTGAGACTGGCTTTCCTGTCCCGGCAGCTTCACTGTCAGCTGAGATCGAGCAGGGCCAGACCCCCTTGTTTCAGAGCACATGCTAGAGTGCCTTTTCCTTTCATTGAAGAACACCAGCTAGTTCACACACAACGCTGTGTGAGGTTGGCTGGTTGGTTTTATTGCAAGAAGCCACCGTGAGCGCAAAAAACTGGGTGTGCGATTTTGAGCATGCAGCACCTCACAAGGATTTCTCAGCAAGAAGAATCCGGGCGAACGCCCCGGGAGAGGACTAGGAGAGACCGCACACAGAGTGTCGGAGAGGAACTAGTGGTTTTACCTTGCCTTCCATCGCTTTCCGTAACCCAGATTCAATGTTTCTGTGGAAGAGATTGTACAGCCACCTGTGGAAACCAAGGGAAAACATGACGGTCTTAATGCTTAGTCAGCTTGTCTGCAAAAGTAGACACACTTCTGCCCTCTTGATGTCATAAGAAATGAGGGGCTTCACGAGTTCTGAAGCAGCAAAGAAAGAGGAAGCGAGAGGAGGTTCCAAACAGGGTGTTTCCTTTGCATGTTATAGCGAGGGCTCCACTGAGAATGTGCTTTCAGGGTGCAAGGAAAGCAAAGGTTTCTGGTGCATCTTAACTTTTTTTGTGTGTGCATGTCTGATCTGTTGCATCGGGACTGAGCAAGCCATGCAGGCACCACCATGCCAGTCTTCCTGCGGCATGCACAAAGGTCGACATGACAAGAACAGGAGAAAGTGGAGACAGGGGAGTCGATGGAAGCCATCCTTAAATTATTTGCAGTGGGCTGGGTTGGGTGAGCACCAAAATGACAGGCACCACGACTACATCTTCCCTAGGATGGGATGTGTAAGGAAGAGGCTGAAGTCAGGAGTAAGAAAGCCAGAAGATCGTCCTGTAGGAGTCAAAGCTACAGGGGGCAAAGTCAACGTACCCCAACCGGCCAGAAATGTGGATGTTGACGTCAGATATGTGGGCTCCGCAATCAGAGGTGGCGGCTGTCAGTCTCCCGGTCCCATCGGTGCCCAACTTTAAGCCCACCGAGATGGAGATGCCCTCCACCTTGAGGTCAAAGGAGCCGTGGTCGCTGCTGAGGGCAGACACAAGCAAAGGACAAGGTTGAAAGCAACCCACACAACCCTCTGGTAAATACTCGTCATGCCCTGTTCTCTCCAAGCAACACATACGGAGGGCGTCCACGGGGTCAGAGCATGTGGTGCTTCACAAGCAGAACTTCCCGTGAGGTCCGTTCCTCCCGGGTGCCTCGGATTTTAGATCAGCTGGGAGGGCACGAGGAAGAGTCCCAGAAAGAATGTGGTGGTAGAAGGTCCAAGGGACTAATGCTGCACAAGGATGCTGAGGGCAAAGGAATAAGGGAAGCCAGCTCTCATCCTATGGAGGCGAGCCCCACAGCTCAGAATAATGTCTCAATGACTCTTAGCTAAGCCCTCTTTCCTTCCTCATAGTGAGATTTCCCTGTCTGAGATTTTTAGTTCTCGAAAAATCTCAGAGGATTCCCCAGAAGCTCATTTAAAGAATCCTAGAATCATGAAGCTGGAAGGGGCTGAGAAGGCCCATCGAGTCCAACCCCCTGCTTGCTCAAGGCAGGAAGCCAAGTCAAAGCAGATCCGGCAGAAGGTTGGCCCATTTTCTCTTGAATGCCTCCAGCATGGAGCGCTCGCCACCAACTGAGAGCAATGGTTTTGTTGTCATGCTGCTCTAACAGTTAAGACGTTTTTCCTGATATTCAGTCCTGCCCCTTTCAGGTCTTTGAAAAGTGCTATCCTTTCTCCCCTCAGTCTTCTCTTCTAGAAGGACTGCTGCAATTCCTGTCTGAAATGGCATCTTTCCTGCGCAGGATTTCCTGGAAATGGTCCTGAGCTGCACAGAACCTCCCCTGTCTTGGGTGGGCAGGTGGGAACGAAGGAAGACATTTGAGGGAGGAGAAGGCTTAGGGATTAGGTTTTTAAACGAAGCCTCCTGGTGGGCATGCCAGCCTGGCCAAACACCCAGGACCCGCCCTGTCCTCACCCGCAGGGAAGTGGCTTCTAGCCTCCCGCTAGCTAACCTCAGGAGATCACGTGGCCTGTCCAATTTGGGAGACCGAAACAAAGCAAGCACGAAGGGCTGACTCACAACCAACGCCGCTTCTTCACTCTCCACTGGCCCGTCAAGGCGGCAACAGCGTTTGTGATGGAGACCTTGAGGCCCACGCCAGGAAGGGGTGCGATCGATGAGCTGGGCAGCTGGAAGGTGCCGATGTTCAAACTGAGGGAGAAAAAGGCGGGGTGGCAAAGTAGATATCCAGAGAAATAGGGTGTTTCCCCTCCTTCACAGGATTTTCTCAGATATTACATGCTTCTGATATTCACACTTGCAAAGTAGGCCACATTGACTCCCTAGGGAGCAATCACTAGGCAAAGCACGCTAAATACAAGAGACAGAGGTCAAGAAAAGCCTATGCCATGAGAAACAGGCATCGGCGTCTTTCCCCTGTTGGTGGGGTGTCGCCTCTAAATGCCTGTAAAGCCTATCCTCTAGTTTGTCTCAAGCATACAAGGATGGGATGTGGACAGACGTTGGGTGGGCACAGCTGGACAGTTGTGATTTTTAGTTTTGCTCTTCTAGCAGTTCAGTGGGGGATTCAGAGAAAGGGGGGGGCATTCAGCCAAGTGACCCTGCATCCAAAGCAGAAAGGCTTGTAGGATGGGACCGCTTTCCCCTCTCCACCATGCAGGAATCCCCAGATCTCAGTTTAGGCAGGTGGGGAAAGTTTAAACAACTTGTGGGTGGGTGGGTGTGCATGCGTGCAAGCCTTAGGCCACCAGGCTTGGGCACACCTTCCCCGGAGCAAAAAGGCCCCCGGAACACTTTGTCTGTTGAATGGCATGGGACGGATTGGGCCCCAGCTGAGAGAGGGGCTGAGAGCTGTGGCCGAGCAGAAGCTTCCCGGTGGGGGTGGGGGTGTCTCTATTTGCTGAATTTAGCTGGGGAAGGGGAGGAAGGGGATGTGCAGATTTTGCCTTAGGATTACGACAACCTGCCCCTTTTGTCTTGGGCCTCCTTATGTTCCTTCACACGTTTTTACACTCTTATTTCACAATCCTACTTCTCCCCCCAGACACATAGACACACACTTCTGTTCTTTCAATGAAAACAGCCCAGCGATACTTGCTCAAAGGGGGAGGCCACCACCCTCCGGCATCCACTGTTGTTGATTCATGACCCTGAGTGGGTCTCTCACCCATAGAAGTTATAATCCACATTTCCCAGGACTTTGACATGGAAAGACCCGGAGAAGTCAGGCAACTTCAGCTTGGCCAACTCCTGCTGCAGGACCGTGACCCCTTCTTGACGAGCTGAAACACAAAGGGGGGGAACGCTACTGAAAACAGAGCATCACCTCCAGAAAGGGAGCGGCTGAGTCCATCGTTTTACCCACTAAAAGGATGAACGGAAAAGTGAGATGCTCAGACCAAAAGAAAAGACTCAGGATTCGGTGTGGTGGAAGGATCGCACCTTTCAACACACCTGAGAAGACCACGACGAGGGTGCATGGGGCAGCGAGCTTTGGGGCAGCTTCCCACACCTGAGAGGGCTGCTTTGCTTCAAATCAATGGGAGCACCAGACCAGTCTTGTTAAGGAGCATTGTGGCACAGGGGTTAAATTGAAGTATTGCAGTCAAATCTCTGCTTGCAACCAGCATTCACTCCCAGAGGATTCTGGTGGATGGCTCGAGGTGGACTCAGCAGGTCAGTAAAATGAGTACCCAGCTTGCAGGGCGGGCGGGGGGGGGATCGGGTAACTAAATTTTAAACCACCCAGAGAGTGCTTTAAGCGCTATGGGATGGTATATAAGCGGCACCCTTTGTTTTGCTTTATTTTACAATGCTGGCCAGCATCCTGTTGGGGATTTATGCCAGCATAGGTGTAATGGAGTGAATCCTAGCAGAGGAGTGATTGACAAGCTGATGATCTGATTCTTTGGTTGCATGCAAGTCACAGGACGAGGGCAGGAGACCAGGAATGCAACCAGCCCTTCATTAAGTGCAGGCAATTCACCTTCCCCGATGGGTGCAGTTCCTTTTCTGCCCATGCAAATCCCCAGCGAGCTTCTGACTGTTACGCTAAATATCCCTGACTTGCCCACTTTCTCACTGTGGGTCCAAAGAGAAACTCCTTCATTTGGTCCCCTCCCGACCAGAGCAGCTTGTGGAGTGGAAAAGAAACCAGACACCTACCATAATCCAGGCCTTTTTCCGTGATTCTGCCCACAAAACCCGGATTTGCGCCCTCGGAGCAGAGCGCCAAGCAGCAAAGCCAGGTCAACAGAGGAAGCCGAGATGGGCTGCTGCCTTCGGGCATCCTTGAATGCATGGTTCAAGCACCTCAACAGAGGCAGCAGCAGAGGCAGAGACACACACACAGAGAGAGAAGTACTTCTGCCCGGGGGAAGTGGCCGAGGCAAACGGTTTGCTTCAAACACAGAGAAAAAGGAAGTGAGCCCAAGCAGCCTGGAGGAGCAGGAAACGGTGCATATATTTCCACAACCGGGTTTCCCCGCAGTTGCACAATTATGTGCCCAGATCTGGGTCATGGTGTCCTTCAGCTGGACCTGCCTTGTGCTTTTTTCTCCGCCTGGGGCTTTGCCAGCTGGGTGGGAGCCTCGGCAGCTTGGAGCGGTGTGTTCTGTGACTCACGGAACAGTTTGCAGTTTTGAAATACTGGCCTTTCTGCTCTTGGGGTGCAAACAAACAAAGCCCCACCCCAGGCCTAGAACTCCAAAGAGCATTGCTGACCTTCAGCCTGCAGCTTCAGACACCCGCCCCTGATATTTTATTATTTACGTGTTTATTAATAATATTTTCATTGATTTGCTGTTCTTCTGCACACAGGGACCTGGAATGCCATAACACAACATTACCAACAACTGTTACATATACATAAACAACACGATGAAAAAAACCCAGATACTTCACATAATTGACAGAAAGGTAAATTAAAAGCAACATAGAAATAAAGCTTTTCTTGACACATAATCAAGGAAAACAGTGGACTTTTTTTTCCCCAAAGGCTCATCTGGGTAGAGACGGCTCAGTGTGAAGAAGGGTCAACTGTTGCAATAAGGTCAAGGCACTCTGTACATGCCCAGAGGCACATGGGCATGTTTCCTATGCATTCTCCTGAATCCTGTGGCAGGTTTGCTAGTCAGGATTAGAAAGAGCCGGTCAATTAAAAGCAGGAATCTCTGGCTGTCCTGGAGACGTGATGCAGGTGAACCTTGTGACAGAGCCAATAATAAAAGCAAACAAATAATAAAACCAATAACAAATAATAAAGCCAACAATAAAAGCAAACCTCCATGCAGTCATGGACTGCAAAACGAAGCAAACTGGTTTGTGAACTATGAGAGATGTGAAGAGTTCCTCTTGTGACAATCAGATGTTCTCAACACTTAAGGAATGCTTTCTTCTGACAGCAGGCTATCTGTAATGTCTTGTTTGAGCCAGATGTTGCTGGTGGAATTACAGTGATATTGTGAAAACAGTGGACTTTTTTTTCCCCAAAGGCTCATCTGGGTAGAGACGGCTCAGTGTGAAGAAGGGTCACGGCACTCTGTACATGCCCAGAGGCACATGGGCATGTTTCCTATGCATTCTCCTGAATTCTGTGGCAGGTTTGCTAGTCAGGATTAGAAAGAGCTGGTCAATTAAAAGCAGGAATCTCTGGCTGTTCTGGAGACGTGATGCAGGTGAACCTTGTGACAGAGCCAATAATAAAAGCAAACAAATAATAAAACCAATAACAAATAATAAAGCCAACAATAAAAGCAAACCTCGGCATGTTTCCTATGCATTCTCCTGAATTCTGTGGCAGGTTTGCTAGTCAGGATTAGAAAGAGCTGGTCAATTAAAAGCAGGAATCTCTGGCTGTTCTGGAGACGTGATGCAGGTGAACCTTGTGACAGAGCCAATAATAAAAGCAAACAAATAATAAAACCAATAACAAATAATAAAGCCAACAATAAAAGCAAACCTCCATGCAGTCATGGACTGCAAAACGAAGCAAACTGGTTTGTGAACTATGAGAGATGTGAAGAGTTCCTCTTGTGACAATCAGATGTTCTCAACACTTAAGGAATGCTTTCTTCTGACAGCAGGCTATCTGTAATGTCTTGTTTGAGCCAGATGTTGCTGGTGGAATTACAACGATATTGTCAGGACAGCTGTGCTGTTTCTTGTTTCTTGTCCTTGTTTATTATCTGTTCCTTGATTGTTGCCCTAGATCTGAAGTGTTTGCGGATTTTCACGTTGGTTTCACGATTTGTCTAGGGCTGCTGGCTTTGCATGGAAGAGGGTTGCTGGTAACCAGTACCAACTGGGAGTTGAAGGGAAAAGAAAGTACTGTATATAAATGAAGTGTCTCATAAACAGAGAAGGATGTGGTCCACTAGGTAGAGCTACATGGTAAGAGAAGGACGGGTGCAGGAGCAGCAAGGGGAAATGAAATGACACACCAGACTGTCGGTCTACGCAGGCCAGGAAGTTATAGGCGGGAGGAAATGCTCGGGGAGGCCCTAGGGGCCTTTACGGACCTCTCCTGGCCCCATGGCAGGCAAACTGTGGCTTGGGCATATCCAGTGGCAGAACACTGAGTGAGATATTAGGAAAACATGCCAAGGAAAGAGAGACTCCTATTCCCATAAATACTGTTCTGCATTCAGAAAAAGTCAACAGAGCCTATGCCTTATGCCACTGGTTCCCGACCATGGGTCCCCAGATGTTCTTGGACTAAAACTCCCAGAAGCCTTCACTACTAGATGTGCTGGCCAGGATTTCTGGGAGCTGTAGTCCAAGAACATCTGGGGACCCAAGATTGGAAATCACTGCCTTATGGAATAACTGGTTCAGTTTTAGCTGAAGCATGGCTAACATGGTCTGAAGGAGGGCCCTGGTGAACATCAGCAAAGCTTTTTCTGCTCTTCATTTGCAACAATTTCCTTCCTTCTGTAGAGGGTGTCGAGAGCCCTTCCTTAGACTGTAAATCAGGAGCTTTTATTAATGTTCCTTATGACTTGCTGGTGATTTTTTTACCTGTTTGGAGGATCGTGACGCATGTTTCCGAATGACCGTCCTTGGTGGGAGGGACAGAGGTTTGGGGCAACTGGGAAGGCTTAGGTCGGACATGGGTGGGCAATTAATTTCTATGGGGGGCACATGAAAAATCTTAACTGCGTTCAGGGGTCGAACCAACTTTACTTAAATATAAAATGAAACAGTGATGTTATGATAGTTTTTAGTTTAAAATTGTCAATCTTCACAAATACCAAAGAGGTTTTTTGCAGTATGTTAAAGATAAGCAACTGATCAACTTTAGAGAAAAAGCTATAAATGGTTTTGATGTCCGGTGGGAGGGACAGGAGCGGCTCGCGGGCTGTATGTGGCCCTCGGGCCGCACTTTGCCGAGGTCTGGCTTAGGATGAAGCGTGACAGAGCTAATCCCCGTTTGGAAGATGGGCCGCGAGCTCTCCTCCCACCAGAGCTATGACGGCAGGGCTGCGTGTATGGCTGGGAGGAGCCGTCACCTGGGTGGCTGGTTTGCCCAGCTCAGAAGAGGGCATCGGATGGTCTCTATCCCGCGGCCTTCAAACATTGGTCCTGCTCCTGCAAAGCTGAATCTTGCCCTCCTCTCCGCTCTTGACCCACATCCTCTCCCTGGATGGGTTAGTAAAATATTCAGTCTAGCCCATGTTGTAATCATTGGCATTCCCCGTTTTTGGAGCAGGAATTGAATTGCAATCAGACTGACCAGTCAGTGGACTCGTACTAAAGCTCAGGAAAACAGAAAGGTGGGCGTGAGATGGATGGACCCCCCTGGCAAAAGACACCGCCATTGGGGGGGG